TTAAAAAAAATTTTTAAAAAAAAAAGGAAAAAAAAAAAAATTCAAAAATTTAAAAAAAAAAAAAAAAAAAAAAAAAAACATTCGATTTGAGACGATTTTTTTTGCAACAATCGATATTTTGCGGAAAAGAAAAATTTTTTTATTTTTTTATTTTTTTTTGCTTTACAAAAAAAAAGTGTTCTCTACAAAGAATACGTAACCATTGTTACGAAAATAAATCACAACAACCATTTGGGATACAAACTTGTAAACACTTGTGTACCTGGAGTTTTATCAATTCACAATTCTAAATTGTAAATTCTAAGTTTTTTTTTTAGAAAAAAATCGCAATAATGAATCGAAATCTTGGATTTATTACCAGATGTTTGGGATATTCATTGATTCGAAATCAAAAATGTTTCATTTCCAACAGTAGATATTTACCAAGTTTAATAAAATCAAAACAAATCAACTATGCAAATATTCATAATTCAATAAGAAAATTTTCATCATCAAATCAAGATGTTATTGAAAAAGAATTTCAAACTGCTATTGCTAATTTTTCGAAATTAACAACAATCGATAATGATATGAAATTACGTTTGATTGCTCTTTGTAAACAAGGTAGTATTGGACCTTGTACCAGTGATAAACCATCAATGTTTAATGCTGATGAAAAAGCTGAATATCAAGCTTGGAAAGCATTGGGTGAAATGTCACAGGATGATGCAAAAAAACAATATACCGAACTTGTTAACAAATTATTGAATGAAAATCCTGATAAACAAAAAAGTCAAAAAGAACCTGAACTTGTATTCGAAGAACGTGATCAAGTCTATTGGATTAAATTAAATCGTCCAAAACAATATAATGCTATTACTCCGGAAATGTATCAAGGACTTATTGATGCTTTGAAACGATCGGGAGAAGATCCTGGCATTAAATTTACGGTGATTACAGGTAATGGGCCATATTTTTCCAGTGGTAATGATTTAAGTAAGTTTTTAGGTCATACTATTTGAATTGTTATAATTATTGTAATAAATTGCAGATAATTTTCCACGTGCCATTGAAGAATATGATGGTGATATACCAAAAGCAATGGATGAATCACGTGCCCTTTGTCAAAGATTTGTCTCGGCTTTTATTGATTTTCCTAAAATGCTGATTGGAGCAATCAATGGACCTGCATTTGGAATTATGTTCACGACATTGGGCCTATATGATTGTGTCATCTCTACGGAAAAAGCCTTTTTTACCTGTCCTTTTTCATCATTAGGACAATCACCCGAAGGTTGTTCAACGCATACATTTCCACAAATATTTGGCCCATCAAAAGCATCGGAACTATTGTATTTTAATTATAGAATGCCTGCCGAAGAAGCTCATCGTTTAGGATTTTTATCAAGAATAGTTCCATCTGATCAACTACAAAATCATCTTGAAGAATGGTTATATAGTGAAAAAGGATTGGTCAAAACATGTTATCCTAATTCAATGTTCAATGCAAAAGGTATTGTAAGAAATGAAGAAACTCGATTAATGTTACATGAAATTAACAAAGTTGAATGTGATTTTCTACAACAAAGTTGGTCATCCGAAGAATGTGCTGATGCATTGCAAAAATTTTATTCGCGAAAATAAATGATATTCATCAATGATTTGAATATATTTGTTCATTGATTGAAATCAGCTGATTGAGAATCTATTTAAACCTAAATGGTTGTGTGTTGTATGACAAAACATTTTAATAATAATAATTATTGATGGAAATAATAATAAAAAAAAAACAAACAAACAAAAAAAAATGACAAAGCTTTTGTTCCACGAATACTAATATTTTATCATTTATCATTATTTGGTTTTCTTTTTGTCGTTCAATGACCATATTTATTCTATAGCTATCAATTAGTGATTAGGCATTTATAAATGAAATAATAATGATATCGATTATTTAGTGTTTGTTTGGTGTTTGTTTGTTGTGTATGTTTATGTATACGAGGGATAAAATCAACGAGAAAATCATTATTATTATTATATAATTAAATTGAAAGAGGAATGGAATACATACGAACGCCAAAGGTAATTTTTTTTTGTTGTAATTAAAATGATTTTCTTTAAAATTAAAAAAAAATTTTATTCAAAAAAAACAAAAGGTTGAAAACGTTCGATTTTTATATCGATATCCAACGGTATCAAATTCATCATCCACCGGAACACTTTATCTTACTGCAACACATTTGATTTTTGTTGATCCAGGCCTAAAACGTGAAACATGGATTCTACATTCATTGATTGCTTCAGTGGAAAAACTTCCAATTACAACAATCGGTTCACAATTGTTGATGAGATGTAAACATTTTTTATGTATAACATTTGTGATACCAAAAGAAAAAGAAGCTCATGATATTTATCAATCTTTGATTCAATTATCTCAACCAAGTAATTATTTTTTTAAAAAAATTAATTAATTAATTTTTCACTAATTCACAACATTAATTGATTGAATAATAATAAAGGTCGTATCGAACAATTATATTGTTTTCATTACACTGCTTCCAATGAATTTTTTACCATTGAAAATGGTTGGAATAAAATTTCCATTGAACAAGAATTTCAACGAATGGGTTGTCCAAACAATAATTGGAAACTTTCTACATTGAATAAAAATTATGAATTATGTAAAACATATCCTCGTTGTTTATTTTTACCAAATTCGGCTGATGATTATATTATTCGTGGTAGTGCTAAATTTCGTTCTAAATCACGATTACCAGTTTTGTCCTATCTTTACACCAATAAGGTAAGTGTTTATCTTTTTGTTTTTGTTGAAAAATTATTACTAAAATTATTTTTTGATTCAGGCTTCAATTTGTCGCTGTGCACAACCATTGTCCGGTTTTAATGCTCGTTGTATTGAAGATGAAAAACTATTGGATCATATTCGTAGAACTAATCCAAAATCACCTCTTCTATATGTGGTGGATACACGACCAAGAGTAAGATTTTTTCAAAGTATAATGATTTTTTTTAATTAAAAACATTGGTCAACAGATCAATGCAATGGTCAACAAAGCACAAGGAAAAGGATATGAAAATGAAGTTTATTATGAAAATATTAAATTTCATTTTTTTGGCATTGAAAACATACATGTTATGAGAGGAAGTTTACAGAAATTGATTGACGGTAGGATCGGTTTTGTTGTTCGATTTTTTTTCTGAAAAAAAATTCTTTTCTTGAATTTTAAGCCTGTGAACTTCGAACACCATCGATGAATTCATTTTTAACAGGTGTTGAAGGTAGTGGATGGTTACGTCATGTTAAATCCATTTTGGAAACATCAGTGTTTATTGCAAATGCTGTACATAATGGTATCAGTATTGTTATTCATTGTTCAGATGGATGGGATCGTACTGCACAGACTTGTTCAATAGCATCAATAATTTTAGATCCATTTTATCGTACTATTGATGGTTTTCAAACATTGATCGAAAAAGATTGGCTTGCTTTTGGTCATAAATTTAATGATCGTTGTGGTCATATTAATGGTGATAATCGTGAAATGGCACCAGTATTTACACAATTTCTTGATGTTATATGGCAAATTATGCAACAAAATCCATGTGCTTTTGAATTTAATGAACGATTTTTAATTAGTATAAATGATTTTGTTTACAATGTTCAATTTGGTACATTTTTATGTAATTGTGAACGTGAACGTAATGAACTTCGATTATCAAAAAGAACATTTTCCGTTTGGGCTTATCTTGATGCACATCGTATGGAATATATTAACCCATTGTATCAACAGATGGATTCAATGTTGACAGTTTCGGTTGCACCACAATTTATTAAGTATGATTATTTTGATTATGGCAACATTTTTTTTACAAAAATTATTTTAATTTTTAGATTTTGGAGAGGATTATATAATCGATTTGAAACTGGTGTTCATCCTAGAGATTTTCTTGAAGATATTTTAAGAGCTAAATATCATCATATTGATCAATTAAGAAAACATATTACATTTTTGGAAAAAGTAAGTATTCATTTTTAAAAAATTTATTCTTTACTGTAATTTTTTTCAAAAAAATTAGTATTTAGAACAACATCAAAAACCAAAAGAAAATGGCCAAACAAAATTTCGTCCATTAGGATCAATAGATTTGGATGAAATTGATCGACCATTAAAAGTCGTAGAACAATGTATGCAAAGATTAGAAATGCAACATGAACAAAATCTTAAAGATCAATTATCAAATAAAAATTGTAACGAATTGGAAATGGAAAAATGTTCCGTTGTTGATGATGATGATGAAACAAATGAAAATAATCGTATATTTAGTAATCAGGTAATTATCGAAAACATATCTTGTACATTGTGATTAAATCAATTAATTTTATTTTTAGAGTCCTATTCCAAGACCAAATTCATTAAAATTGGAAAATAATAATAATAATCAAGATGTTTTGATCAATGATGAACATGAACCAAAAGATTGTTTATCATTACCAATGGATCAAGTTATACAAGATTGTTCAATCATATCATTAAATTGGCAATCATTTCAGAATCTTAAAAATTGTACCTGTTCAACACCATTAGAGCCTTATTCAACAAGGTTACATTGTTTTGCTTGTGGTCATATTTTCTGTATCCGTTGTATTGACAAACGTTGTAACATTCCATGTCATGAGCCTATTTCATTATCCAAACCAGTATGCCGTAATTGTTTTATTCGTTTAACCAAATCTAATTCTATTGATGCGTGATTTTATTTATAAAATTTTTTTTCTTTAAAAAATTATTTAATTGCATGTTTTTTTAAAAAAAAAAGTTTGTCTAAATCTTATTGAATAAACTTGAATAATCTTATCAAAAGTCGAAATTTGAAAATGTCATTTATGGACGGCCAATTATTCACGTTTTTTCGATTTTGATCGTAAAATTTGATAATTTTTTTTTCTCTTATAAAAATAACTTTTATTTCTAATTTCTTTTTCATTTACATTTTGATCATAATCATGCCAACACCGGATTTGTCTGTTTTACAACCATCTACATCAGTGATGGAATATAACACGTTTGTTACGAATGAAAACAACGTGCTTGACTCGGGGAAAGCGGCAGTTATTTTTCTCTGATGAATAAATTGTAAAATCGTTGTATTAAAAATAAAGTTTCTATTTGTTTCCCGTGACAAAAGCCAACAGGATTTGAACCTGTGCGGGAATATCCCAATAGCACATATTTGAGACATCAAAAAAGTGCCAACAACATCTATCAACGAAAATCGTATTCCGGTCAGAAAAAACATCCTTGTGCAAACCATTCACAATTTGCACAACCGATGGCTTTGTAATTGATGTAGCCGGTCCGTACACAGCCAACATGAATGATGCAAAAATATTGGAAGAAGTTTTAAGGTAACCAGGTGGTTTATCTACTATTCTTCACCAAGAAAATCATTAAACTCGGATCATGAAGATTTGGAACAAATCGTCGACCGAATGAAAACAATTATCACCAACAATAAAAATGAATTGGCAGATTTGGTCAATGAAGAGGGATGGCATAGAAAATCAAGAATTTTTCAAAGGGCTACCGTCGACGACATCATGGATTTCCCGAAGTTAACGATCCGGGAATTGAAGATTTTTTTTACCGGATCCTACCAACTTTCACAAGCGATGTCGTATCTTGCCGAAATGATCCATGAAGATGGAAGTCTTCACTTCCAGTATCAACCAGATACGAGCATCATTCGATGGGAAGTTCAGTCCCGTCATATAGTGACGAAAATAGTGACGAAGACTAGTTTGAATCATGATCATCATAATTATCGAATTTTTCCAAGTTTTGTAAATCGAAATTATTCTCACTTTTTGTATCATATTATATTTGTATAATAAAAGTTTTTTTTTAATGAATAAATATTTGAAAATATTTGTTTTGAATGTTACTGTTTGAATAAGATGCCCGTGATTTGTTGAATTCAAATGTGGAAATGTCATTTATGGATGGTCAATCATTTACGTTTTTATTGATTGATCGTTTTGCTCGCAACATTTGGTCATATTTTTTTTTGGTTAAAATTTTTTTTTCTGATTCAATTTTCGATTTTGATAATCATGACTACTGCGGCTCGACCAACATTTGACCCTGCTAAAGGTGGAACAGGACGAGGAGAAAAAAGTCTTAGTGCTTTATCGAAACAATATTCATCAAGAGATTTACCATCTCATCTTAAATTGAAATACAGGTAAAAATCTAATCACATTTTTCAATCGAATGAAATTAATTTGCTTTCATTTTTATGTTATTCAAAAGACAACATGGACAAAATTCATCTGATGATGTTAAAACAAAGGATTTTCGTAAAGAACTTGAAGAACGTGAACGTTTAGCACAATTAGAAAAGGATGGAAAACGTGGACACATTCCTAATAAACAATCATCTGCTAGCCATCATTCCATAACACAATCGAATAAAAAACCTCGTATCGAACATCAACGAACAACGAATAATTTATCACAATTAGATGCAGATGAAAAATTAGATGATGATGATGATGACGATGATGATATTCATGAAGATTCTGATTCAGATGAAGATTCTGAAGATGATACTCAAGCATTATTAGCCGAATTAAATCGTATTAAACGAGAACGTGCAGCTGAAGAAGCTAAACGTGAAGAAGAACAAAGAAACTATGAAAATAAAATACGTATGGAGAATATATTGTCGGGAAATCCATTATTAAGTGCGGGTAAATCAACAAATTTTAAAGTAAAACGACGTTGGGATGATGATGTAGTATTTAAAAATTGTGCTAAAGATGATTTAAAAGAAAAAGATAAATCATTCATCAACGATACTTTGCGATCAGATTTTCATAAAAAATTTATGGAAAAATATATTAAATAATAAGTTTTTTTTAATTACTTTCTATGCATTTTTATTAACAAATAAATTTTGTAAAAAACAAATGATAATAAATTCTTGATCAAATAAAAAAAATAATAATAATTCATTTACGACAAACAAAAAATATCGAATGATATTGATAGGATACCATTGAATTGGGATTTCTTGTATAATAACAAATTTGATTAGTTTTTTCTTCTAAAAATTGAAAATTAAATGATTCAATAATTTCTCTAACAATTTCATAGCTAGGTTCAATTGAACAATCAGTCATATCGGCATAATGATAAAGTAATGGACCAAAATTTATCCATATTCCACCTGTTTTAAGAATATTCCAAATAGTTTCAATATAAGCAACAATATTTTGAGCAGTATCCAAAAAGAAACATGTAACAACACAATCAAATTGATTTTTTTGTTGATTAAATATTTCGATAAACGAACCCGCAACCATTGAAAAATCCACATCTTTCGATATGGTAGCTGGATTAACATCGGGAAATTTGATTGGTAAAATTTGATGATTAGATTGAAGATTGTTGGAAAAATGTGATACCCAAGGATAAAATGTAAAAACATCGATAGAATCGATTTTGTTCAATATAAAATTGGCTACAAATAACATCATCAAACTGAATTCATTTCCTTGACATGAATATCCACGTTTTGCTATTTCAAATGGTAATCTTCCAAGACCGGCACCCGGAACTAAAATCCTTATTTGATTTCGATTTTCAACCAAAGGAAAATATTTTTCAATGGTATTCAAAATCGGAACAAAACATGATTCACGTTCATTAATACCTTCGTGACACCATTCACGAACAATTTGATTTAGTATCGAATCAATACGAGAAATGTCGAGATCTTTTTCCGATTTCAAAGTTAAAGAACTTTTTTTGTTATCTTTAAGAAAAAGATGATTACGAAATATTTTAGCTGCATCACCGATAATCACTTTAATTATCTCATAATTATGTAGAATAGAAGTTTGAACTTCGGTTAAATGTTTGGAATAATTTTCCAATAGATTTTGATGTGCAGTCGTCATGGTGTTGACAAAATCAATTCGTTTTTGTACTTTTTTCATATTAAAACTTTTATAATAACGAAAAGTATTAATAATATCGAAAAAATGTTGTTGTTCTTCAATATCTTCATCTTCGGTATGATTTGATTCATTGCTTTTCTCGTTGAATGTTGTTTCATCTGATTGTGATTGTAATTCATCAAAATCAATCGTTTGATCAATATTATCATCGGTAACATGATCGGACATTTTTATCGAATAAATTACAATTTATTTAGAAATTGAAATTTTATTTTAAAAATAATGAAAAAATAACAGTCATGTGATCACGAAAATCGCTCTATTTGCACTCAACCGTATTCAATAATGTCAAATAAGATTTCGAACCTAAAGGAAATGACAATGTAATGATGACAAATTTTTAATTTGAAATAAAAAATAAAATTCTGGTAAGAAAAAAAAAATTTAATTTTCTCAACTTTTTTTCACGATTGAAAGGCTATGGCATTATCACGCATTTGTTGAAATGTTGATTGATCAATGTGTAGAAAACTCCATGGTTCAAAACGAGATTCTGATTTAAGAACTTTATTGTTGATAAAATCAACTTCTCGTACCAAATCACCATTGATAAATACTTTATGTAAAGCGACTGTCTCTTCTTTTGGTTTATCTTTAATGATTTTTGTCAGCTCAACATTTAGCTCTTCGACTACCTTACCAACATCGGGTACATCGTATTCGATTTTTTTGAAACATTTCATTTTTTCACTTTCCGGTTCTTTTACTTCGAAAGATGATTGATGAATTTCTTCGCCCATCATTTTAAAAAAATTATCTCGGAATGAAAATGGTATCGATATGAAACAACGATAATTTGGATATATAAAAACGATAAATAATTTGATCAATACCAAAAAATAATAACTATTTAAAATGCTATTGGCTTTTATTTGGAGAAAAATTGAACGAAAATTGAATTCTATTAATCTAATATCCACGATACTAAATTGAATTTCGCGAATCGAATTTTTTTCGATCGCCAAAAACGAAGAAGAAATTAAATTAAATTGGAAAAAATTTAATCATTCAAACACGTCATTTTTGAACGGTCAACAAACAATGTTTCACAATGTTTTTATCAATCAAAACATTGAATCAAAACAAATCATCAAAACACACCTGAGATGACGATTTAATTTTGTTGTTGTTGTTGTCTTCACTGTTGTATATTTTGGAAATCAATTAGCCTTCCACCAAGAAGAAATTGCTGTAATGAATCCATTCATTTAAGAAAATAATTTTAATGATTTTCTAATTTTACAGGCCATTATTTGTGTGTTTCGAATCATGAACAACCAATAACGACTAGTCAAAATTTTTTTTTGTTTTTCGTTAAAGATTTATCTTTGTTTTTTTTCATTTATTCCTGGATCATCTGGTACAACAAAATGGACCTGTATTCAACATTGAACTCTTTAGCGCCAAAAAGTAAAATTGATTTTTTGTTTGTTTTTTTTCATCTTTTAATGTTTCTCTATTTGAAAAACTACAGTATCGTATTTGAATCGAGATTTTAATCACCATCATGATCACGATCAATCAATTGATGAAAATCCAAAAGATTTTCCACCTACAGAAGATCCTGTTTATATATTGGGCAAAAAATATAGTTCTTTATATGGTGATTATTCTTTTATTTACCAAAAAATCCATTAATTTTCTGTTTTGTTTTGGTTTAGAATTAAACGAAATTCGTTCAGATGTTCGATCGAATATATGGATGACATATCGACGAAATTTCCCGCCAATTGGTGATACAAATTTTACATCCGATAGTGGTTGGGGTTGTATGCTTCGTTGTGGTCAAATGGTTTTGGCACGTGCATTCATTAATCTTTATTTGGGTCGTAATTGGCATTGGAATTATACGAATCTTGAATCGATTAAACAATTATTACAGGATGATAATGAAACGGAATTGAAAAAATATCTTATCTATAAAAATATATTGAAAATGTTTACCGATCAAAAAACATCATCATATTCGATACATCAGATTGCATTGATGGGTGTTTGTGAAGGAAAAAATGTTGGCCAATGGTTTGGACCAAATACAATTGCACAGGTTTTGAGGTAAATTTTTTTCTGTATTTACTAAATCCAGTTACTAATGTAGCAATTTTTTTTTTCATGTAAAGAAAATTATCATTATTTGATAAAATGAGCGATGTATTCATCTATGTTGCAATGGATAATATTGTCTTTCTTGATGATATTAGTAAGTTAAACATTGGAATCATAAAGTAATTAATGTTTATAATTTTTTTTTTTTGTTCAATGTAGAAAAATCTTGTAAAATTAATGATGATGATGATGATGATGATGAAACAAAGTGCCAAGAGATAACTTCAAAATGGAAGCCATTAATACTTTTCATTCCTCTTCGATTAGGTTTAACCGAAATCAATCCGGTCTATTTTCGTGCTTTAAAAACAACATTTACATTTCCACAAACATTAGGCATACTTGGTGGCCGTCCTAATCATGCCCTTTATTTTATTGGCTGTTGTGGTGATGATCTTATTTATCTTGATCCACATACAACACAGCCTAATGTCAATATAGTTGCTCAAGATCGTGAATATTTGGAACAAATATTGAATGAAGAAATACAAAATGATTTACTATTGGATATATCATCAAACAATGATCAATGTATAACATCATTATCTCAACAATCTACTGATGATATTTCCTATCATTGTGAACGACCATATCGTATGTCAATATCATTATTAGATCCATCATTATCATTATGTTTTTTCTGTAAAAATGAAGAAGAATTTAATCATTGGACAAGATTAACAATGGAAAAATTATTTCATGAACAAACACAACCATTATTTGAAATAATGCAAACACGTCCACGTGAATGGCAGAATAATGATGATGATGATAATGATTTAGAATTTATTGCTTCATCATCATCATCATCAAAATTAATTAATCAATCTTTTGTACACAAAAACATACCAAATGACCTTGCGCAACAAACATCTGATGTTGATGATAATGTTGATGATGATGAAGAATTTGAAATAATTTAAAAAATTTTAGCCACTTTTTTTTCAACAATAAATTTTTTTTAAATAAAAATTTTTTAAAAAATTCAAAAAGGGTTAAATTGAATGACATTTGTGTAATGGTTGTTTGCATGCAAAAACATTGCAAGCAATTAATATTGCTGATGATAATAACCCATCCATCGGGTTGAAAAAAAAGAGTAGCCGCTAGCTGGTTTTTTTTTCTCGTCTACCATTGTGATTATCATTTGTTTGTTTGTTGATGTTTTTCTTTGATTTCTTGTGGTAATCGGGTGTCATATCATAAGGGTTGGGTCAACCTATCTCCGCTGTGTGTGTGTGTGTTTGTGTGTTTTTCCCAAAGATTTCAATCAATCATTTTAATGAATTGAAGAAAAAAAAATTTTATCCAAACATTCATTCATTCATAACATTAATTTGCTTCTTATCTAATCGGTGTATAAAATCCATTTCACATATTTTTGTTTATTAACAAATTGTTTCTGCTGCAATCAAATCAAATCAAATCAACGATTTTCAAACGATTTACGCACATCACATCACACAAACAAACGAATGAATTATCTTGTGATCAAATCATCAACAATATTTTCTGGCTGCCATTTATTTATTTAGAGAAAAAAAAAATCAATGATGATGATGAACGTTTCGAACTGAAACAAAACTAGAAACAAATTGAAAAAATTCAATTTCGTTTTTTTGAACATTTCTCATCAACTTTTTTCAAAAATAATCATCAATTTTTTTTTTTTGATACATTCATTCGATGATAATAAAACTTTAAAAAGTTGACTTTAGTAAATTAGAAATTTTACCCAAAACACACATCAATTGTCCTTTTCGTTTTCGTTTTTTTTTATTACTCACCTCTCTCATTTCACCGCACACACAGACACACATGTGTGTGTCTATATGGACCAAAAAAATGATTTTTATTATTATAATTACAAAATAACTGTTTTCCAACGAAATTATAATAATAACGATAATCATAATTAAATTAATTTTTTTGTTTAATCAACTATATGTGTGTTTGGTGGTGTTGGTTTTGTTGTTTGTTTTTGTTTTTCATTCATCATTCAGACATCACAATCAAACAAAAACAAATTTTTTGTCAATTTTCAATCATCGATTTCGAATCTTTTTTCAACATTCGAATCCATCCATCCATTCCTCGTTGTTGTTATTATTATTATGTCTAGACATTCAATTTTATCAGGAATTCGTAAGTGTCAAATGTTTATAATTTTTGTTTGTAATTTGTTTGTAATTTTTACTTTTTAACAACAACATTTCTAGGAAATAATAATAATAATTTATCCGATTCATTAAATTGGTCATTTGTTCAGGTAAAAGGAACATTGGAAGATGAATTTAGTGATGGTAAGTTTGTTTGTTTGTTTGTTTATTTGTTTTCTTCTGATTTAAAAAAATTGTTTTGTTTTTTTTACAGCTGATTTAATATCATGTGTGGAATTCAATTCCACTGGACAATTATTAGCATGTGGTGATAAAGGTGGAAGAATAGTTATATTTCAGGAAAATGAAAGAAAAAAAACAACCGAATACGATCTTTATAGTACATTTCAAAGTCATGAAGCTGAATTTGATTATCTGAAAAGTATTGAGATTGAAGAAAAAATTAATAAAATCTGTTGGTTAGATGAATCAAAAACAGCTGCAAATCATTTTATGTTGACAACAAATGATAAAACAATAAAATTATGGAAATTATCCGAAAAAGATAAACGTATTGATGATAGTTTACCGAATATTAATCGAAATTATATTGGTTGTGATTCGAATGGTACAAGTGAATATGATCTATTGGATCAAAATGAATTAAGGATTCCAAAAATGATGTCCACCGAACCAACTATTCGATCAAATCTTCGTCGTATATTTTCCAATGCACATTCATTTCATATCAATTCAGTTTCAATTAATAGTGATCAAGAAACATTTATATCGTCGGATGAATTGCGAATAAATCTTTGGAATCTAGATATTACGAATGAAAGTTTTGGTAATGTTGTTGTTATATTTTTTTTGTTTCGAAACTAAACTAAAAAAATGATTTTTTTCATTACACCTTTCAATAGTGATTGTCGATATAAAACCTTCTAATATGGCTGATCTATCCGAAGTGATTAGTGCGGCCGAATTTCATCCACAACATTGTAACATATTTGCATATTCAACAAGTAAAGGTTCAATTAAATTATGTGACATGAGAGAAGCTGCATTATGTGATCATTATTCAAAAAGTAAAGTAACTGTTTTTTTATTTTTGAAAATTTTAACCAATTTTTTCCATTTTTCTATTAGTATTTCGAGATACTGTTAAAAGTTCGGATAATTCAAATTTTTTTCATGAACTTATATCTGTAATATCGGATCTAAAATTTACAAATAGTGGTCGTTATATGATTACACGTGATTATATGACCGTAAATGTATGGGATTTGAATATGGAAAGAAATCCAATTGAAACATATGAAGTTCATGAATATTTACGTGGACGATTAGGTACACTTTATGAAAATGAATATATATTCGATAAATTTGAATTCTCATTAAGCGGAAACGATGAGTATGTTTTTCTAAGTTGATTTTTTTAAAAGAAAAAACTTTAATTTTTTCTCCATTTTTTTCAGTTATATAATGACTGGTTCATATAATTTTTTCAAAATAATCGATCGTAAAACTGAACAAGAATCATTATATGAAATTAATAAAGATATTGTTAAACAAAAACATCTTCGTCCACAAAAAGTAGCACAACCTACGGATAGTTTTCGAAGAAAAACAAAAAAAGATGAAATAATTGTCGACAATATTGATCTAAATCGACGCATTTATCATACGGCATGGAATCCGAATAAAAATCTGATCGCTGTTGCATCTACAAAAAATTTATTCATTTTTCAATCATGATCGACAATAGAGAGAGACTGTTTTTACAAGATTCATTTTTTATACAATCCATTTTTTTTATACATTTCATTGATATTTAAACAACAAAACAAAAAAACATTCATCGATGTATTTAATGCAATCAAATTGTGATTTCCTTTTGTCATGTGTGCCTTGTTTTTAAATTGATATTTTTTTTCGAATCACAAATTTCCTCTTATGAAAATGATGAACAGATTCCTGTTTGAAATTTGAAAATATTTTTTTTTATTTATTTAAAATTTAAATTATATTTACAAAAACAATTATCGAATGATTTATTTTTTTCATAGGCTACAAGTTCTTCATGAGCTTCGATTGATACTTTCAAAGTATCAATTGTTGTTGAGAATTTTATATTCTTTTTTGGATTTTGTTTTTTAATTTTTTTGATTTCCATCATGTCTTTCTTTCATGGTCGAATTGAATTGAAAGATACGAAAAATTGTTTTGTAACGTTACCGGCAAAATGGGTAAAACAAAATTTTCGTTCAAATTCATATGTAAGTTTGGATTGATTTTGGAGATTGATGTCATTTTAATTGGACACATTCGACATTCTTTTTGCTTTAGGGTTTAATCATAATTAAACTTATCTTTTTGGACGATATTAAACCGGATAAATTCATTTATGTTACCTGGAATGGTAGCAAAAATTGTACTGAAGATTCAATATTTTTGGATAGAAATTTTGCAACAAAATCTAATATCATTGATAATGAATTGATATTGGTACAAATGATCGATGATCTAAGTCGAATATCAACATGTATTTCTTGTTATTTAAAACCATTATCGGATGATGATCATCAAATTATTACAATTAATTCAGAAGAAATTGAATATAAATTACTAAATCAAATAAGAATATTGACTATTGCTTTTTTGAAAAATGATGAATTCAATATATTACCAATATGGCTTTCAAGTTCACCAAATGTTCCCATTTTTGTTAGAATTTTTCGTGTGGAACCGGCAAATAAAACTGGATTGATAATAACACAAAACACGAAAATTGTTATCGTTCCAATGAATGAAACAAAATTCGAAAATGAATCAACAAATGATATTTTAGCACCTGTTATACCATCATCATCAAATTCTGCTACTTTAAAATCAGTTTTTGGTTTATTCAAATCTTTAGTACCAAGTAAAGATAATATTTTTCCTATTGCTCATACTTCACATAATGATTGTTTCGATAAGAATGTTGATCAAATGAAACATGTATCATTTCATATCTATCAAGGCAAAAGTCTATTTTTACGTGTTATTTTGGCCAAAAATATTGATCCATTTAACGTTTCTATTGCATTCATATCACCAAAACATTTTGAATATTTAAATCAATCCGGTTGCAATGAAAAACAATGTTTGATTCGATTGAAAAAATTTGATCATCCTTTGCACAAAGCTTCAGATATTGATCCAATTAGTTATGATACAACATCAATGTCAACAAATGAAAAATTTTGTACAACATTTATTGATAAATATCTTAAGATATATGATTACGTGAACGAACTAAACATATTAGTCAAGGCAAATGATGATTGTCCCGAAGATTCAATCATGTTAAGTCAATCATTTATTGTTCAATATTCATTACCATTTTTATCATATGTTATTTTGGATCATCCAGATTTGAATGTTCAGAATGATGCTTTAGAGAAGAAAAATAATATTGATTATTTGAAAATTCCGATAGCTCGAAAAATATTCGCCATTCCATTATTACCGCAATATTTGAATGGTAAAAATGAACTGGAAAAAATGATACAAAAATCAAAGAATAACAATATAATGGTTATATGCAATGGATTCATCAAGGATGAAAAATATTTCCTAATCAAACATCAACAACAATTACCGGTACCTGATTTTGATGTAGAAATTTTTAAATTTCTTTCCTCATGTTTTTTGATTGATCAATCGACTGAAATCATTGTGCAACAAGTAACCAGTATAAATTCTTCAATGTTATTACATATGAATAAATTATCGAAAAAACGTCAAATTATTAATGATATGATTGAAAATTATAAAAATATCGGTGCTAAAGCGTTTGCTGGACGTGATGAAACCATAAAAGAATGTATTCGATTCATAGATCAATCATTGAATCTAAATTCAAAATCTTTTGATACAAATTTATTCACAGCAATGCTTGTTGCCGGATCAAAAGGTTCGGGAAAAACAACGTTAATCGAAAGAATTCTATATGATTGTTTTAATAATCATTACATTTGGAATACAATAGTTCGATGTTCGAATGTAAAAGGTAAAAGAATTGAATCAATACAGAAATCATGGTCAAAATTATTTACCGAAGCTGTTCATCATCAACCATCGATTATTATTTTTGAAGATTTACATCAAATTGTTTATGAAACTGGTGATGATGAAACGAAAAATGTAAAAGAAACGTTTGATAATAATTCTGGTGATAATTCACATACAAAATCATCAACACCGGAAAATTTTTATTGTGAACGTGTATCACATATATTTTGTCAACTAATCGATTCATTACGGAAATTTAAATCATTATCAAAATTTTCTCGTATCACTATTATTGCTACGGCTGAATCATATTTATGTTTGAACAAAGTGATAAAACAATTTAATGTATTTGATCAAGTAATCGATATACATCAACTAAATGGTAGACAAAGAATTCAAATATTGAATGATATATTTCGTAAGAAATATGATACTTTATCATCGAAAGGATGTTCAACAACAACAACAACAACAACAACAATGAAAACATCATTGAATGTTGATATGAAATTATTATCAAAAATGACCAAAAACTTTACGGTTCAACAGCTTGACAGTTTAGTAGATATGTCAATTCATTGTGCTTTAGTTAATAGTCTACGAAAAAAAGATAATACAAAAATCCAAGTTAATATTGATGATGAACATGTTCAGCAAGCTTTTACTAAATTGAATTTTCATTTGATCAAAAAGAATGATTTAAAATTGAATACAAAACGTATGCTCAAAGATGTGGGCGGTATGTCGAATGTAAAAGAAATATTGTCCGATCTTATTCTATTACAAATACGTCATCCAAATTTATATCGATATTTGCCTTTAAAATTACCAAATTCTTTACTAATCTATGGTATGCCTGGTTGTGGAAAAACGGCCATTATTGAAGCAATTGCAAATGAAGCAAATATAAATTTTTTAAGTGTTAAAGGACCAGAATTATTATCAAAATATATTGGCAACAGTGAACAATCAGTACGAAGAATATTTCGTCAAGCAGAAAATTCTTCACCATGTATATTATTTTTTGATGAATTTGATTCATTAGCACCACGTCGTGGTCATGATAGTACTGGTGTAACTGATCGTGTTGTCAATCAAATATTAACACTTATGGATGGTCTTGAAGAACGAAAACAAAATATCTTTATTATAGCCGCAACAAGCCGACCAGATCTAATAGATTTAGCATTATTACGACCAGGACGTTTTGATCAGATTGTATATTGTCAACTACCAGATGAAAATGAAAGAAAAGAAATTTTCATGGTTCTTGGACAAAAATTATCGATCAATTTTGATATGATATTATTCAATCAAATTGTGAAGTCAACTGAAAATTTTACTGGTGCCGATATACAAGCGTTATTATATAATGCATTTCTTGATGCAACCAAACAGGCTATTGATGATTTAAAGCAAAATAGTATCCATCATCAACAACAACAATCACAACAAAATAATAATAATAAAGTTCAAATCGAATGGGCAAATATTCAACATGCAATGAATATAACACGACCATCTCTTAGTGAACAGGAAAGGACAAGATTTATACGAATGTTAGTTATTTTTATTTATCTTTGTCTTGTCTTGTTTTTTAAATCATATTTTGTATATTTGTTTTGTTGTTTATTCCCACAAAGCATTTTACGATGATGATAGTTTTTTTTTTTTTTTGTTAGGATCTAATATCCAATTTTTTTTTTTCATACAAAAAAAAATTGACATTTTTTTCCCTTCATTTTGGCTTTTGTC